TTAACAGTAACATGTTGCAGCCCCTCCTCCAGCTCCCGGCTCCGCGGCTATATCATGCACGAGTCAACAGGGCCCAAGAGTTCAAAACTTTTAATCCCTATCTGATCAGATCAGATTTATCTTTTGGGGAGTTCAAAACCAAAAAACAGGATTAGGATCACTTTGATATCCGATCAGATCAGGAAATCCAATCCAAGCTTTAATCTGGATCAAATCTTCAAAATGGGTAGTTCAAACCGACAACACAGGATTGGGATCAATTTGATCCCAAAAAACTGGATTATCCTGATCCCACCAGAGGGGTGGATTTCCAGTGGATTACCAGAGGAAAATGTACTGTACCATTTATTTTAAAATATGTTTCAATTTAAATTAGATGGCAAAGTTTGTTAACTGAAATAATACACAATGTTTAGCCTTCATGGGAAATACATTTTATTTTTCCATTTTTTGCTCACGTTTGTGGTGGCCTATTTTGTTTTCAACCAAATGTTGATGACATAAATGTTTATGCTCATAAAAGTATCACAACAAAGATTGTCAATCACAAATGTAATTTAGATTAAATTAAAAATATCTTCAACAAAAAAAGTCCATCTGTCATCACCTTTCAAAAGTAATTGCAAACAATAGCATCTCGCATTGCACCACCACTCAGTCTCTCATTTAGAGGGAAATCCATAGGTGGGCCTGATCATCAGCAGGTGCGAGGGGCTCTGGGGGATCATCGATGTCAGAGAGGGGGACTCTGCGATGGACAGCGATATTGTGTAGCACAATACAAGCCAGTGTTATTTGGCATACTCCTTGGGGTTCCACTCTCAGATAGTTGAGGCATGCAAAACGCCTCTTCAGTACTCCATTCAAGCGCTCAATGGCACACCTTGTTCTTCCATGGGCATTGTTGTAGCGCATCTGTGAGGGAGTGTTGGCCGTGGGAAAAGGTGTCATCACCCATGGTAGGAGTGGGTAGGCACTGCCGGCTAATATAACTCCATCCGGCCTGTTGGTTTGGAATTCAGTGAACAACCGGCTCTCTCTGAAGATACGTGCATCGTGGACTGACCCAGGCCATCTCACAACTCAGTTGGTGATGGCAAGGTCAGCATCTCCCACAAGTTGCACATTGATGCTGTGCCTCCCTTTCCTGTTGACATATTCCCACTCCCTCTGACGAGGTGCTTGAATATGTACATGGGTGCAGTCGATCACCCCAATGGTGTTGGGCATGTCTCCTAGAAGAAAAAACTTCTGCTTCACTTTGGCAATCTGACCATCAGTGGGAAAAGTCACAAAGTGATCCAGCAGGCGAGCCAGTGCATCAGACACAGCTGTCACCACTTCACCCACTGTTGTCCTGTGGACTCCCATGCTGTCAGCTATGACCTCATAGAATGTTCCACATGCGTAAAAGCGCAGGGCAATGAGGACCTGTTCCTCTACAGTCAGAGCATGACTCCGCAAGGTTCTGCACTGCAGTTGTGGCCTGACCAGATCAGCAATGTAGTTGATGTCATCAAGTCCAAATCGAAAACGATTGTACAGTTCTTCTGTTGTGTACTGTTGGAGAGGTTTGGGGCGCTCGGTGTGGACCCTTTGGCGGTAACCTCTCCTCCCAGCATGGAAGATGTGAACAATCCCTGCCATGACTGTGTTCTTACTGTTGTTTCAGTCAGTAGGCCTACATCAGTCTCTGAATAACAACTAATTGCAAATACACACCTGGAATGAATGTCCAGATTGGTTAGGGCCTGTGGTTAATTATGTAATTAATAGCAAGGCCAGACCTATAAAACTAATTGCTGACCTGACCAAACCATTGAGTTGGAAAGATGGACAAAAAGGGGCCTAATTTTACATCTGCTGAGACCCATGCACTGCTGCTGGGTGTAAGGAACAATTATGACTCCATAGTTGATAGCTTTAACAGAGAGGGTGGAGCGACTAAAGTAAAGAGCGGAATATGGATGGAAGTTACAGACAATGTGAATGCCACAGGATCTGGACACAAGAGGACGGTGGACCAAGTGAGGTTGAGGTGGAAGAATTGGAAGCAGCAAGCTACCAAAGAGCACAGCCAGGCTAAAAACCCACAGACGGGTAACAAACCACATAAAAGGGGACAATACACAGATGTGGTACTTGATATCATTGGTGGTCAGCAGTCACAATCTTTACATGGAATACCAAACGTTGTACTGGATGGTGAGTCGCAGGTATGTGTGATTTTATCCTTGTCCCTATAGAACTACAATTATTATCTTGTATAATTGTTATTTTCATAGAACTACAATGGCTATATGTCTTACATAGCATCCTAGTACTACAATTGTACAGGTTGCATGCTTGTGATCATCTTATTAAGGGGTATAAAGTATATTGATAAACTTTCATTTCAGGTCGTCAATGCACCTGATGTGACACACACCATTGAAGACGAGGTCCTCCTGACCCATGTGGATCCAGAAGCTGGACCTTCAGCCAGGCCTGATGACACACTGCAAGAGCCACCTCTAAAGAGAAAATGCAAGCGCACCAGAAAACCAAAGCAGAGGGATGATGCCTACGAGACTCTGCTGAGCCGTGAAACGGAGAGGGCAGAGATTCAGATCCGTCTGGCCGAAGAACAAATAAAGCTGTGCCGGCTTCAGCAAACTGAAACCTCACTGAGAATTCAGCTCCTCAAAGCACGCCTGGATGATCCAGCTGCCTTTGAATGAATGCTTTATTGTTGTTACCCTAGTGGGAGTATTTTTTTAAATTACAATTTCATTATGATTTGATGTCCTTTATGTATTTAAAAATATAATTAAACATTATAGATGTCTCTGCAATGTGGTCTCTTGTCTTCCTTGTATTATTTTGCATATCCACTAGATGGCGATCGGTAGGATTAAAGCACTGATATTCAGGATCTAGTCATCTTGAAAAATCGTAATCTGGATCAGACTGATCCTATCCTGCATTGCTTTGAACTCCAGGGACAAAATGTGGCCGACTTGTCTGATCCTGGATCACAAAAAATGGGATTTCAAAATCTGATCGGATCTGATTGAGATTAAAAGCTTTGAACTCTTGGGCTCAGCAGACTCAGAGATTCGCAAATCCTGACTCACTGTGCAAAACACAGCAGACTCGTGCGGACTCAGAGGCGTAACCGTATAGCAACAGATCCAGAGATCCAGCAGACTCTTCGTCATGCACGAGTCAACAGCAGACTGAGATTCGCAAAATCGCAAAATGACCCTTTTTTTTGTGATCAACATGTTTTATTAAAGCAAAAGACACGACTTTACACACATTTAACACATACAAACACCAGTATTGCAATGATTACGCAGTCCATGAGAAAATAGGAGGGGGGGGGGCATATGATTAGATCTACACACTGTTTTCATGACCCAAATATGTATATATGTTCATTTTAATTAATTTCTTATTTTTCATAGTTATTTTATCATGGGTGGAGATAATGGGTGAAGATATGCTTGATTTTTTTGTTTGCATTTAAAAAAATAAGTGTTTTGCATTATATGTATATAGTTATTTTAATATGTTCCTGTATAAGCACATTTTGCACAATTGTGTTTTAATAATTGTATAATTAAGACATTTTATATATTCTAACTGTTTTGCAATTTTCTGTTTTCTGACTGTTGCACAACATGACAATTTTGTTAGAAGTCTACACTGAAACTTCATTTAGAGCCGGAAACATAATGGACTTAATCAAAATCGCGGGATCCGTGAATCCAGGACAATGATCGAGAGAGACCAGTAGCCTACGAGTTAGTTAGCGGAACTTCACAGACTCGCAAATCCTGACTCACTGTGCAAAACACAGCAGACTCGTGTGGACTCAGAGCCGTAACCGTATAGCAGCAGATCCAGAGATCCAGCAGACTCGTCGTCATGCACGAGTCAACAGCAGACTCAGATTCGCAAATCCTGACTCACTGTGCAAAACACAGCGGACTCAGAGCCGTAACCATAGCAGCAGATCCAGAGATCCAGCAGACTCGTCGCAAAATGACCCTTTTTTTGTGATCAACATTTTTTATCAAAGCAAAAGACACTGTGTAGCGGAGGTTAATATAACGTCAGTTTAATATGCTCGTGAAATGCAACAAGTTTTCGGTTTCACCGATAGGATTTCTACGGTCTTGGTGATGCTGACTCATATGACTCAAATGACTCGTATGATCCGGATCTCTTCAATGACTGACTCAGAATACCCTGAGTCCGTAAAAGGATCCGGATTTGCCATCTCTAAGCTTCACAAGTACGTCGGTACGAAAATGCGCTTTGTGACACAAGTGACGCATTTCAGATTGTTGCCGTGCATGCGTACCTGCGTAACAGTTATGTGCACCCCTGGATATAACCTCCTTCACTTTAAAGACTTCACCTGAGCGTAACCATGGTGCTTACTGTATTAATTCTGGAAAAATAGCATTACATCAGTGCACAATATTCAACAGATTAAGATTGATGAATGTTCTGTTGCAACCACTTAAATGTCTTTTATTTCACATGCTGTCCATGACTCATACTAGTTTTTTTCATAATCACAGGCCTGTGTGCCAAGTAGAACACAATGTTCTTGATTTCCTATTTGGGTTTCAACAAAAAAAAGAGTAAAAACAAATGCAAAAGTTAAGCACCTAAGCATGGTTAGAATAAAGAAGCCCAGACCATATAAATATAACTGGTTGAAAACCACAGACCAGAGTGAGGCAAGCTGCTATTTCACCATCAGTGGATACCCGCCACCACATGTGTATTGTTGTATTATTATTGTTATGCTGAGAGAGGAAAAAGGATCATCCTCGGTTCGTTTCGTCATTGTGGCTTCAAGAAACCGCCGTCTCGATGTCAACACTGTTCTATTGTTTGGTTCATTGAGGATCACATACAGGAAACTGACATATGTACTATATAATAGGAATTGTACAAAAACAGAATGACTAACATACGTATGCAGAGGTGGGTTCACTGACCTGATGAGTGGTATGTTGTCCAGGGTGCAGCACAGGACTGGACCCCTCTGTAGTGGGAGCTGCTCCTCACATGACTCATTGTAAAGCCTGCAAACACACACGGGGACATGCAAATACTTTTAATCTGTAGATATTGACAGATAACGAGATTTAAAAGTAAAATATTAAAGGATCAAAGCCAGAACGTCGCATGCATTTTCAAAAACTCATGATGAGCCAAGCTAGAATCTTTTTAGTTCACTCAAGTAAAAACAAATCCCGATTTCAAGTTTCAAAGGTGCATAATGTATCTAATGTAAGCAAATGTGTGTAAAGTCTGTTAATGTTTGAGCCTTAAGACGCACTTTTGGAGCTTCATGACTCAGGATCTACGCAAACAACTGTAGAAAATTAACCCAAAATATGTTAGGTGAAAGGTATCTTGAATAACAGGGAAATGCTTAGCTGTCCGTGTTGTTTTGCCTTCACACACGCTTACCGATGTATCAGAGCACATTTGTGCTTTTATATTTGACTCACTTTTGAAGCTGCAGCGCTTTTCTCCTAATGGAAGTTTTAGCGCGTTTGCACTTGTCGGCTACCGTATATATCAATATATGAAAGTCAATGTTTTGGTAGCTGCACTGCAAACAGGCTGGCAGATATTGACTTAAACATCTTTGCTGATAAGGTTTTTGAAAAGATCTTGACATGTGATAACTAATTAGATTCCTTACATATTTTCATTTGGAATATTTATGTGTTTTCTGTACCAGCAGGGAAGGTACTTTTATTACACACAGGTACATTTAATCCATGTTTAAGTTTCACATTCCACAGATTATTAGGAGTTAAATTCATCTGTCTTGACTCGAGTTTGGATTCCTCCCATTTTGATGTGTTTGCATTCTGAAACTTCAGTTTACTGTAACTCCCCTCATACATCCACACAGTCTGTCTCTCCCCTCATGTCAACCTTTGCCCCTGCAGCACTTTATCTTCTTCATTATCACCCCAAAGTCCTCACATCTCCATCTCATGCCTCAGTATGTTCAAATTAAGACTGACAGGAAGTGGGGAGTGAGGCCTCACGGATGTAAATATAGAAAAAGTTGCATTGCGCAAATACAAGCCCGCCATAAATGACCTTATTCCTGAATGCTGCGCACACTCGCCAGCTGAGAAAGATTTTCCTTCCACCGTTTTCACAGTTTTCCCAGTGGGCATCTGCAAGTATTTATTCACAATCAGTGACTGCTTTTTGTGTGTTTTGTGGCGCATTAACAGGAAATGAGAATAAGTCCTCACTACTCTATAAAAAGCATTTTTTTCCTCTTGGTTTTGGCCCTTCACCCAAACTGAGCTGATGTGTTTCAGACCTTTCTCCAACTTCAATGAACACAAAACGCTAGCATCTCGTTTTTGTGTAGATGAGGGGGGAAAAGTGTTAGAAACAAGGATGTGAATCAGTGTTTTATGATTGATCTGACCACAGAAACAGAAAGATACGTAAAGTGAGTTATTTGCCTACCAAAATAGATCAAAGATGTGGAAAACGCTGGTGTGGACACCATGTTTTCACATCTAGTTGGCAGCTTCAACACTGACATATTGTCATCTTTAAAGTTGATATTGAACTTGTCAGCAAACATGTCCACATTTAGCAGTTAAAGGGCAACATGATCATTCATTTTCAGTTATGTTTCTGGTTAGCTGATGATTGTAAGTCCGATATTCTCCCTCTTTCAGCCCTGTTTTGGTCTCAACCAACTCCTTGGAAAAATATCTGTCAGAACTTTACCTGTTTAGGAATTGTTGGGGCAAAAATAAAAGTGTTTTATGCAAAAAAAATTAACAACAACACTGCATCAGTTTGTTTATGAAAGGACTGCAACTAAATACTTTAATTATTGATATCTATTAACTGTTTAGTTTAAAAAATGTTGAAAAATAGTAAATCATGTCAATCCAGTTCCTCCAAGGGTATCCAATGTGATGTCTTTAAATGTTTGTTTGTCAGTCAATAACCTAAAGATATAGACTTTAATGTGATTTTAAAAAATAGAGAAAAAAGGAAATCTCCAAATATGAGAAGTTGAAAACAGCATTTTTGAAAATGTTTCGATAAAAGAAAATGACTTTGAAAATCAATCGAATATCAAAACAGTTGTGTAATACTTTTTCTCTCAAGATCGAATTGTTCTCTATCTTCTCCAAGCATTACATCTGATTCTTGGCTTTGTCTGGCTCTCTGCTTGAATGTCCTATTACAACTGAATTCCTAAAAACTTACAGTACACATTAGTGAGTAATAATGTCCATGACACTAAGTGCACTACTGCCAGTACTGACATCATGAAGCAGTGTGCGTGCATGCGCGCGCGTGTGTGTGTGTGTGTGTGTGTGTGTGTGTGTGTGTGTGTGTGTGTGTGTGTGTGTGTGTGTGTGTGTGTGTGTGTGCCTTACGTACCAGTTATGGACAGGACAGACATGCTGGTTGTACAGGGACATTGCATATCTGTAAAAATAAAAGAAGATAAGAATCTTTGGTCAAAGAACTGAACAGGAAGACACAAAATGAAGAATTTTGATATAGATACAATTGATCAAACAAGATCTCCAGTCCTAAAACATCACTGTCAGTACTTTATTAATTTTTAGAAAATAATAAATATCTTCCACTTGGGAAAAAGTTCTGTTTCACTCACGTAAATGAACACCTAAAATATAGAGCAGTATTCATGCTTTTCAGGGCATTTAAGTAACATACTTTTGTACTACTCAAAACATATGTCACATGAATTACCATGATTTAGCATTTACAGAATGAGGCCACTTGTGTTCGTCATACGTGTGTATGCAGAAGCAGCTGGCTGTTTTTTTTTCAAGGCCTCTAGCATGGCTGTGGACTTGTTTCACGGATGTCATCAATGTTATCTGAGGCTTAAATATATCAAGACAAACTGTAAGAGATCAAGTCATGAAACAATCACATTGTGCCACAGATAAGACACACACTGAGTGAACACACAGAGAACAAAACAGGCTCCTGAAGAATTGATTTGCCTTGACCTAAGAGTGATGAACTTTGTTGAAAGGAGATCACAGCTTTTGGTCTGAAATAATTTACTTGGTTTTGGTTCAAATGTAGAAACAGTGATTTTCCTTGATGGTTTCCTGTTATGAAAATCTCACTAGTTGCAGTTCATGCTTCATTTGTGTTTCTGGATCATCAGAGCTTTCAAAGGCACCAGCAGACAGGTGTCAACATGTGGGGGATTACAGACTCCTCTCCTACAGGGGAAAGCTTTGGAGACCTGGTGTGAAAAATTCTCGCCCCCACTTTGTCAAGGTGTGATGGCTTCTCACAAAAGGAGACTGTGTCAATGAATTCACACCGAGGAGAGAAAGGAAGAAGAAGAGGAGAGACAAAGGACATATTCACATAGAGCAGAAAATATACTTAACGTCTCAACATCCTTAAATCTGCAGTAGTAGTGTGTATGATGGTGTAACTGCTATGTACCGTGCAGCCTGTCAGTGTGTCTTTAACAAGAACAGCTGCAGGGCAAAACTATTTACCAAAGATTTGTGGTGTCTAGGTCTTCTGTGGAATAGCATTATATCACAATATGTCATTTTCTGCCACTAGAAGTTTATTCATCAAAAACATTGGCAAAGACGAATTCTGGTGGCATTGTAAAGTAGTGGTTGATCACCGGAGTATGTTATTGCAATCAGCTGAATTAGAGGTCTCCTTCACTCCAAAGCGAACATACTCAGTGATTAAAGTGGGTAAAAAACAGTCAATAATGCACTTAAAAGTAAAAAATCAGTGTTTTTGAAAATGTCCTGGCTTGTTTCTCAGATAACTTAAGCTCAAGACATTCATGGACTGAAATATAGGGTACTGCCAAGATGGTCATGAAACCCACAATCCCCCTGGATAATATTCTCATTCTGATTCTGACCTTAAGCAAGGCACAAAACCCCCAAGTGCTGAGCGGCCTAACCATTGGCTGCTCCTTCTCTCTGACATCTGAGTATTTATTTCGGATTTATGTGTAATTCAAATAAATGTGAATCTTCTTGATGTGGCTGAAAGCTGGATACAATATCAATGTATGACAGCTTCTGGCAGACAACCATAACCTTTATATTCATAAAAATATACAGATTGTTCAAAGGTATCTACAATTCTTGGAAAGCTTTGAGGTAATGTAAGCATTTATTCAGTTTTATGATTCAATTATTATTCTGGGCACAAAGTAACACTAAACAATAATAAGGTGTAAGAGATAGGAGACAAACATTTCACTGCAATTTAAGATCATTTTTCATTAAAAAGATTGCTTTAAATTGTATAAATCTGAAGGACTAAAAAAGGATAGCTTTGAAAAACATATATTATTTGATACAGAAGAGACAACAAATCTTTAATCCCAAGGCTGAGTTAAGAATAATAGTGCAATATTTTACAAATCCACTTGTTTGCTTTACTGCAGAGAGTAAGAAGAAAGATGAACACCACTCTCATACAGTAAAAATGAACCTGCAGTTTAGCCTAGTTTAACATTAATACTAAAAACAGCAAGCATGGCTGTGTGTTGTCGTCACTGAGAGGCTGCCAGGCAACCAGCAGAGACTGTTAAACCACAAATTGTTTTTATTACACTTTGGTATGTGTACAGATTAAACAAACCAGTGTTAATGTGTGAGCTTTTCAAAGGCTGGTAAACTCCCTTAAATCTCCATTTAACACCTTCAATGTTAAACACACAGATCACTCTGAACTCTCACTCTGTATCCCATGATGCCTCAGTGTTCTGCATACTTCCAAATATAAAGATGAAACTGGATGTATTTACAATGGTTTTAACTTCCATGGCATGCATCTTAAGCCTCCTGAGGCCCTGACACACCTACCCCATTTTGGGAGTCAGAGGCCGTCAGAGGCAGTCGGGCATTCGCGGCGCCCTACTCAGGTTGGTGTGTCCCGCACCGTTGTTGCTTTACGGCACATTTTCACACCTCCCGCGGCCGATTCAACATGTCAACATGTTGAATCGGCCAAAGAAAGTTGGCCAAAGAAATCACTCTGATTGGCTGTTGCCTCTTTTGAATGACGAATACACACTACCGCTGCCTGCTGGTAAGGAGTTATTGCCACTCGTCGGCTGAAGTCTTTGCGGTGTGTTCGTGCGTAAAGGCGACGTAGCGGACGTAAAAGTCGGGACGCCTTCGGTACGCGTTCTTTGGTCTCAGGTTGGTGTGTAGCGGCCTTTACACTACACACCAAACTGACACCAAAGAACACGTCCCGACGGAACGTCGCTTCACCTCACGTCTCCTGCGTCTTTGCCATGTTTCGCACTGGAACACACCGCAAAGACTTCAGCCGATGGCCAAGTTGCACGTACGAACTGCGCATGCGTGAGTGGCAATAGCTCTCCTTACCAGCAAGCGGCGGTAGTGTGTATTCGTCATTCAAAAGAGGCAACAACCGGAAGACAGACTGCGTGATAACTGAGAGAAGAAGAACAGACTGCATGATATAAACAAACAACAAATAGCGTGTGCATTCCATTTTCACTCTACAGCGAGAAGCTCACGGGGCTTTCCCGAACCTGTGTCGAGAGCTGGAGTTAAATTAAATCTCAGATTTGCCTTCTTAATAGTTTGTTTGGGTCCCTCACTTCCGTTTCGCTTCTCATGCACTGATTCGCTAAGCTTCCAAAAAATTATGTATTGAAGTCAATGGAGAGAGAAAACGTATCTTTCGATCCCGTTTGAATTGTGCCACGAATTACACATATGATGTTTGTCAATCTTAAAAAATAATTTCCATGTCAAAAAAGTCACAGTTGTTGTTAAAACTGTTGAAATATAAGACTATGAAAAATAGGCAACTAGAAAGACTACAAATCCCAGAGTTGCGTAAGTGATGTCATAACTGATGTCACAATTATTTTCCTCCGCTAAATATAAGAGATAGATCAGGGTTGCCAACTCACGCATCTGGCGTGTGACACACGCTTTCACTCTCAGTCTCACGCTCTCACGCTCTCACGCTGCCCAAACTATTCTCACGCCAAAAAGAAGATGAACCGGCGATCGTTTTTGGTTGGTTATTTACAATGTTGAGTTGACAGCTGCTCAAGCTGTCGATCCCCTCCCTCCCCGCCCCCACCAATCTTAACAACGTCAACAGACAGCAGAGCAGTGGGAGCCGACACGTATTGCGCATGCGCAGATCTAAGATCCAGTAGAAATGATAAAAAAGTGTGCTGCTTATTGTTCTACTAGGCCAAAAGAGAGTCAAAGAGTATATGAGAGTGAGAGTGTGTTAATTAATATATTTGGCGGTTTGGAGTAAGTCTGTAGATTTGTTTGTGTGTGTGTTTCATGTATAGGCCTCTCACGATAATTAATTTTGTTGGATACATTTTCCCGGAAATGATTGCGATAAACGATAATATTGTCAGCACCGTTGTATGACCATTTTAGACCACTGACATAATGATAATATATAATAATAATTCAAGTATATCCTTTCAAACGGCTAGTCACATCCTCATGTAAATGGCAATTTATCGAGGTCAGAAAAGTTATCGAGTTCATTTTTATTTATCGTACGATAATTGAATTAATTGCTTATCGCGACAGGCCTATGCACACAATAAAACAGTGGAAACAAACATGTGTTTGACTTTCATTACTGAATGAAACGTTGTGCCCTTTATAGTCTGTGTCCAATATTGTTAGTGAGTGAACAGGTAAAGGTGTTTTTATGTACAAATGACATCCTGTCTAAACATCAGTCAGGCTTCAGAAAGCAACACAGCACCATCACTGCCACAATGAAAGTGGTGAATGATGTGGCGAGTATTTTAGATAATAAGCAGAGTTGTGCAGCTCTATTTATTGACCTTTCAAAAGCGTTTGACACCGTCGATCATCGCATTTTAAAGCAGAGGTTAGCCAGTATAGGCATGTCCAGCCATGCAGTAGGGTGGTTTGTGAACTACCTCTGAAAGGTCCCAATGTGTTCACTTTGATGGGCTGTCTTCTGAGTGGTTAAACATTGCTAATGGTGTTCCCCAAGGTTCTGTTTTAGGTTCACTTTTATTCTCCATATATATCAATAGTTTAGGTGAAAATGTGGATGAAGCTACTTTACATTCATTTGTATGCGGATGATACCGTGATGTACTGTGCAGGTCCCTCCATTAAGGAGGCTGGTGTTAAATTACAGGCTGTTTTTAACATTATTCAGACTCAGCTCTCTGAATTAAAGCTTCTTTTAAATGTTGAGAAAACCAAGGTAATGCTCTTTTCTAAAGCTAAAAAGACACCAGAGCCTGTTTTAGATATTGTAACTACGCAAGGAATACAACTTGAAGTGGTTACCTGTTACAAATACCTTGGTATCTGGCTTGATGATTGTCTCACTTTTAAACTTCATGTCAATAACCTGCTTAAAAAGCTGAGGGTTAGGCTAGGTTTCTTCTACAGGAACAAGTCCTGTTTCTCGCTTGAGGCCAGGAACAGGCTAGTCACTGTGACCTTTTTACCTGTGCTGGACTATGGTGATCTGATTTATATGAATGCACCTGCCAATTGCCTGGTCAAGTTAGATGCTGCGTATCACAGTGCACTAAGATTTGTGACAAACTGTAAAGCATTAACCCATCACTGTACCCTGTATGCAAGGGCTGGTTTGCTTTCACTAATTGTACGGAGGCTCAGTCACTGGTACATTTTTATATACAAAGCCATGTTAGGGAAACTTCCATCTTATATCTGCTCCCTGATCTCACGGAAAATTGTAAGTGGCTACTGCCTGAGATCGAATGCTGTGGTTTTATTAAATGTGCCAACTGCTAGGACTGTCTTAGGGAAGACAGCTTTTAGATGCGCAGCTCCTCTGTCTTGGAATAGTCTGCAAATTAAATGGAAACTGAACAATCTGGTGCCACTAAATGTTTTTAAAGCTCGGTTGGATGCTACTCAATCGGAAGCTATAGGTACCTGTTTATGTGGATAATTATGTAAATGATGCTGTATGATGTCCTTTTGTTGTTCTATTTATGTTTTTATGTTTCATGTGGAACTACTTGAGCAGGTCTCCCTTGAAAAAGAGATCAATGATCTCAATGGGATTTATCAGTATAAATAAAGGTTTGAAATGAAATGATTGTGTATTTGTATATATTGTATATATATATCCTATATATATGCTAAGGTCCCGCTACTGACACGATAGCAGTCATTTAGTGCGCATATGTGTAATTAAACCCATGATATCAAAATCTCACTCCAGCCAGGTACCCAAAGTTGGCCACCCTGTACTAGACCAAAATAGAGTCAAAGAGTATATGAGCGTGAGAGTATGTTAATTAATATATTTGGCAGTTTGGAGTAAGTCTGTAGATTTGTTTGTGTGTGTGTTTCATGTATAGGCCTCTCACGATAATTAATTTTGTTGGATACATTTTCCCGGAAATGATTGCGATAAACGATAATATTGTCGGCACCGTTGTATGACCATTTTAGACCACTGACATAATGATAATATATAATAATAATTCAAGTACATCCTTTCAAACTGCTAGTCACATCCTCATGTAAATGAAAATTTATCGAGTTCATTTTTATTTCATTTTATTTAAGTCAATGAATTGCTTATCGCGACAGGCACACAATAAAACAATGGAAACAAACATGTGTTTGACTTTCATTAGTGAATGAAAATGTGTGCCCTTTATAGTCTGTGTCCAATATTGTGTATTTGTATATATTGTATATGTATCCTATATATATGCTAAGGTCCCGCTGCTGACACGATAGCAGTCATTTAGTGCGCATATGTGTAATTAAACCCATGATATCAAAATCTCACTCCAGCCAGGTACCCAAAGTTGGCAACCCTGGTATAGTGAGGGTAGTCAATCGTTTTGTTGACAAGACAGTAGTGACGGCCATCTTTGTGGCGTGTGTTGTTCTGCGAGACCAGAGATGTAGTTCATTGAGCGTTTCACACAAACAAATGTGTTACTTCACAGTTTTACGACACTTTTTTTTTTTTTTTACTTGCAAAATTATCTTTTAAATTGACAAACATCATATGTGTAATTCGTGGCACAATTCAAACGGGATCGAAAAATAATCTTTCTCTCCCCATTGACTTCAATACATAATTTTTCCGAAATAAGGTCCCATGGCTCGGAAGTAGATGGGCGGGACTTCGCCTCTCTATAGAAATACATTGCTTTTAAAATCGTTCTGTGTGACCATGTGTGTGACACGAAAAAAATGGGAAAATCGTGTTGGTGAACACGAATCAATAGATTAAATGTCGTGACTATAACACGAAATGCAGTGAGACTGGGTTGACCTGTTTCAAGTCAATCTGCTAAACTAAGCTAACGCCAGCAAGCTTTAGCTACACACTGTATTTAGCATACGGTAAGAGCTGTAACCTTCTCCTCATCTTAACAACAGTGCAACTAAATGTGTTTTTTTAAATTGTCATTCTTATCTTTAGAGGTGTTTAAAACTATACTCTATTAAATCTTTGACCATAGTTGATTATGTGCTGTCAAAAACACATTTGTGGTACGCACTCACAAGAGCAGTTTATTGGCAGCATGGAAAGCAGCCCTAATGTATGCTGCTGTCGTGCAGAGCTACAGATGTGACTGCTGTGGGAGTAAAGCAGATGCAGATGACAGGACATGCAGACCAGAACACCGAGGCTGAGAGGAATTTCAAGGGTGACTCTTCTCAGGCACAATCGTAGTATAAACAGAAGGACGTTATACTGTCTCTTTCCAAAGAAGCGACTGTTTTAAATGCATGAACTTTGTACAGACAGTTTAGGTCATCATGACCGCAGCAGGGATAATAGGTAGCCTCTCTAACAAGGCTTATGTAAAGATAACCGAGGTTGAAGTTTGTCTACAGAAAGACTTTTTAGGAGCAACTGTTGATGTTTATTTTCACCAATTCTGAGGTATACTCACACGACCCATATCCCAGTGATGGTGAAGACAGGCAGGCTGACGGGAAGGATCATCCACAGAGACATGATGACCACCTGCAGAGAGCAACAAACAACATTAAAACCAAATTAATCAGTTTAAAAAACATTAATAATCTGGTTATGCACTTTTAGGACATCATATTATTAGACTACTTGATCCATTGATTCATATGCACACATTTGGACAGCCAACAATCATTTACTCATTAAATAAGATATAAGGTAAAATGTTGCTGTGTTTCTGTGTTTTTTATCGCTTTCTGTTGTTGGATAGTGTAAAAATAGCCTACTCTGTTACAAGTACAAGTCCTGCACTCTAAAATATAATTCAAAAGCAGCCGGTGAATTGGAGCAAATTGTATTACTACTTTATATAATAGTTTAACTATATTAAAAACATCATAATTTGTCAAATTAAACTCAATCCTGTGGAGGAGTGGAGTAGAGGTACAAAGTAGAATGAATTTGTGAAGAACCAGAACCTCAGAATTGTAAATAGGAACAGTACTTGAGTAATGTACTATGTTATATTTAGCACCACTCATCACTGTAATTTAAATGTCTTTGAGTTATATACTGTTGGTTGGAATTCCAACCATTTCTGACATGTAATACACTGATTGAATAATGAAAATAAGGTTACAAAAGGTTGATTGACAGTGATAATAACAGTCAGTTGCAGACCTTAAGCAGGTTAAAACAAATGTGGTTGAGTACTGTATGAACCAGATAAATACACTGACAATGGGCTGCAGCAGGCTCACTGTTTACTATTACTGATTGATCTACTCAGAGTAAATTAACCTGCAGACAATGCAGCCATGGAAACGCCTAAACATGTTGTTCCCCATGACCGGATTAATCTGCCCGGAGACCCAGGGGAGCTGTTGGGCCCCTCTCAGTCCCCTGTTTCTGTCCCTCTTTTACAAGCTATTCCCTGGGCTCAGGTTAGCTGTGTAGCAGTCATTAAAAAACAAATCATTTGAGGTTTGACTTATAAACGGCATCTTGGACTCTCATGTCGCCTTAATGTCTATAGGAGTAACCTGAATGTTGAAAAGTCTATGCTAAATACCCAGACATTACAATTAACACCAAGGGGTCTTGGCCAACTGACATATGTGATGTTGTGATAGTGACAGCACAGAACTGAAGCTATAGAGCTCTTAAGAGGGTTTTGAGATTGAAGAAGAGGTAAGAAGCACTGCCACAACCAATGATTATTTTCATTATGGAGTTATCAATAATTGTCTTGATTAATCAATAAATAGTTTGATTTAAGACCTCATAAAGAAAAAAAAAACAAGTCATCAAACCGACCATAAGAAACTGAGCACAGTTTAGTACAATTAATAGGGTTTATGTTCAGTGTTGAGACAAAGTTACTACTAATCTACTCTTAACTTATTTATCTTCAAGATGGAACTTTTATCAACATTTAAAAAATGAGACATACCTTTTTTAAATCACAGTAAGAAACACTTTGATTTGAGAAGCTGTCACTGTCTAATTTAATAATTTAATTGTTTGTGGATTCAGTTATTGATCCATAAAAGCCTGGACATAAAAGTGCTGCTTGCAAATCCATTCATCTGTCAGTTTTAGAAGATATATTAATACAAATAATATTTATAAAACAAAGCATCCAAGAACGACTGCATATTCCACTTGAAGAAAGGTTGGGAAATGATTTAAATTGATCATCTAAATGTACTCATATAATGAAGTTTAAGCACTTTTTTGATCTTTCTTACAAAAACGCACTCAGTAAATAGAAAATCATAACTCAAGAGGTTGCCTGTTCCTTCCTGTGAGTTTATTTAAACACACAAGAAATGTTGACCACCATTCATTCAACTTGCTTGAAACTATTATCACAACTAACAACAAAAAACAGGGAAGTATATTTTTCCATGACTTTTGTCTCCTCTGGTTTTACTGTACAGAAGCTGCTTGTTTCTCCAAGTACTTCCCAATTACTGTCATTACTTCAGGAACATCTGCATACAGAGGTGTAGTGAAGGGGGCTTTTCCTACCTTCGGTTTGTTCCGTGGAAAAAGTCTTCAGGCTCTCCTCTTCATCTCAAATTGTACTGCTAGTCTGAGCTCCTCTGCATCAGCTGATCCAACTGGTTTCATTGTAAAAGGTGTGACAGATCTGATGCCGATTGATCCCCTTCATCTCACTCTGAGGCTGCTCGGAGATCAGCCTGATGGCAGTGATCCTCCAAACACACAGCAGCTGGATACAGGAACTCCAGACTCCTCCCAGTAACACACACTCACATGTTCTACCATTTTAAATCCAGATCTGACAGTATAAACTCCTTTTAAGAATTTTTTTATTTCAGGGTTGGAAAATAAACATGTTTTTGTCTTTTAGTACAACTTTATCTGAGTTTATTTACGTGTCTGTGGAGAGATGTTTGGCTTTTGTATACTTTACTGAGTGCTTGGAAGTGTGCGTTCAGCTGCAGGTGTGTTGTGGTGTTTCTTTTCTTGTTTTGGATTATTTTGTTCCTTTTATAGTTCTTGGAATCACATTTCACGCCCGTTTCGCAGATTAATCACACTTTTGGATGTGCTCGTGTTTTTCTATTCCAAAGAAGCTCCAAATGTTTTCCAGGAAAGCGGAATATGGTGCATTCAAGTGCCCCTTAAAAAGCTCGTGTTTTTGAGCTGACAGATGGAAATGTTGAGGATGTTTGACTGGAGGTTTAATGTAGTATGGGAACGTTTTTGAAATGGTCAGATTTTTTTATTATTATTATTTCTGAAACGTAAATGGTTTATTTGCAATTAAATGTCTATACTTTATATTTTTGCACTCATATTTATTAATTGCTTGTTTAATGCCATCCTTTTTTCTATTATTGTTACCAGTTCCATCCTTATTAAGTGTATTCTGCTGCACTTTTCTATGACTTAATGTTTGTCTTTCACACTTTTGCTTTTATTTCTGTATACACAAGGCCATGGAGGAATAGGCTACAACCTTTAAAAAAACTCCCTTTCAAGTTAAAGTCCACCATCCAAAGTAAGCGCAACCTATAAGTATCACAAGTAAAAATAAGGATCCTACAAAAACAAACGGTCTGTGTGAGTGATAATAATATATATGTCATCATCAAATTGATATCAGTTGGATAAACGTGTTCTAAGAGCTGTAAGATGAGTAATGGGGCATACACTAAGAGTTCTGCTAGACATTTCTTTATTATTATGTGGAATTTTCTCCAAAATGTTGTTGTGAAATATTAAATATGTTTTCCTCACAGGAAATGGGAACTATGTGTACTGTACTACTACTCTGTTACAGGTTCAGTACAGCCTAGGTCCTCACCAAAATACTTACAACTGTAAAATAACACAACAACGTAGGCCTATCATTGATTGGAGTCACCGTTGTTATTTACTTGTTATTTATATTCCGTTCAAATATAATTTCTTCCTACAGGATTTGAAGGCAACTTCACGTGGCTCCTCGCGTGCGTCACAGTGCAGAGATTCACACAGCTGCTTTCAATTAACGTGATTTTAAGTCGGAAACAAATGGCGCTACTTTACAGAGCCAGAGTTACTCATGAAGCAACAGAGGAAACCATGGCAACTGACTCGTGCCGCGCGAGGGCGCCACAGGCTTTCCATTATAGGCCCAACACCTGGGAGCAGTACTACAGGGTAGGAAAAAAACATGTAAAAGTCCTGCATTTAAATCTTAGCTAAGTGAATGTACAAGAGTATAAACATTACAATTGACCTACAATACCAAAGTAAAAGTATTTATCTCTACAATGGCCAATTTCAAAACGATGTATATTATAGGGTAGTTTTTGATGCCTTAATGTGCAGATCACTTTAATGTTGCAGATGGTAAAGGTGGGGCTAATGTCAAATGCTTTGTATACTGATGTTAATTATAGCAGTAGGCCTACACAGTATAATGTATAAGTAGTTTTATATTCCGTTTCTACAAAATTGCTTGTCAATGTTATCAATTACATCTACATGCGTAAAATCAACAATATTCCTCAGATTTCCTGTTACTCTTCTTCCTTAGGAAACTTTGACTTGTAATGTAGTTTTATATACTTTTACTTAAGTGAAGGATCAGATAACTTCTTCAATCAATAATGCAACAGTGGGCTATAAATAAATAGTAAATAAATAAAGTAAATAGGCTATTCAGATTTACTTAGGTAGAAGTATCGATACTACCTAGAGATGTAGAAAGTAGAAATGCTTTGTACCAAGTAAAAGTCCTGCATTTGGATTAGTATTATTCTTACGTACATACAAGTATTATGATCAAAATATGCTTAAAGGACCAGAAGTAAAATGACTCATAGAGAATGGCTAAATTCAGAATTGTTGGATTATAATTATTGCTTTAATAAAAGTAGATATACTGCTAGTAGCTTAACCTCCAAAAATGTTTATATTTTGGATGAAAAATCTAAATCTGCAAAGCAATTTAAAATGTCCCAAAAGTGTAGTGGTATAGAGTATAAAGTACAAGTACTTCAAAAATTGTTCTTGAGTTGTAGTTTAAAAATGTGTTGTAGTTACATTCCATCAGCTGCAGTGGTGACCCTAATCCTTTATGGGATCTATCATCAGAGGCCCCTCACAGTGTGGTGTCCCCACTGCCCCTGCATAGAGGGGTTTCCTTCCCATCTGAAATAACGAACAGATATGTTTTAAAACCATTATTGTAATTTATTTATTGTTACAACATTTCAACACCAAAAGCCCTTGAACTGTTTTTTTTGTATCTCCTTCGTTTGTCAGTAGAATCCACCGGGGTAAAGGTGCACATACTGTACTACATTGTACTCCACTGCACACTGTACTGTAATGCACAGAGCAATTCACTCTGATCCATGATAGAAAAATAACAGAAGCAATGTTTGGCACACAAAATTATTTCAAGTTTAAAAGGGTTACAAGTTGTGAGCAGGAATCATTACTGACGTTACAGAACACCTCAGCCAGTCTTCACCTGGGGCCTTCTCAACATTAACTGAATGATGTTTCATAGTAAACCACATGTTTAGTACTGTAACACTAGGGAAAGGTCATTCAGAGCTCCATTTGTGGCCTCAGCACTCAATCCATTGGGATTCTGTTATAAATGCATAAACATTAGTTTAAAAGTTAGAATATATGTCTTTATCTATGTGCAGGTTTCTTCTTATGAAGTGTTTTTGTGAATACAGGGGTTACACTTTCTGCTCTGAATAATTAAATCCCTCACAGATTTAAACTAGGGCTGCACGATGTTGGAAAAAACTGACAGAAATATGTGTTCTTCTTCTGCGGTATATATATATGTTGCATTATGAACAAATACAGGAATCTCAACCAGAAGAGCTGTTTTCCGTTCAACATCATCCTTTGTCACCAAAGTATTTCCATACTGACAAGCAGGGAATGTTTTTGTTAATAAATTGAAGAATGAATGTGATTGGTGGTTAGCAAGAAACTGCTTATCCATGAAGCCTTCAATAGTGATAAATGCAGACTTTTCTAGTAGATAAGTCACAGATAACAACAACCGTGCAACTTTTCCGGTTACACCATGCAGTAAAAATATGTAGCAGGATGATGCGAAGATCACAATGTCAATAGTTTATCGTGCGTCCCTTATTTACACTTTTCAAACTTTGGATTTCTCCTAGCAGACGGAGCTCATCTGTAAAAATGACATTGAATGATCCAACTTGAACGCTGTTGAAAGAAAAGGTAAAATAAGGCAGATGGACAACAAATTAAGCATTTACGTACAAGGTGCTCAGGTCACAAATGGCTCTGTTGGGACATTTGAGGTGAAAGCGGGAATAGTACAAACAGACTTTTTTAAATCCACTCTTGCATCATGTAAACATCAGCTCCTCCATAACAGAAATACAGTATTAGTGGTTAAACATGATGGCAGAACAATCGTCTTTACTTCATATGTTCCAGCCAAATCCCTCCCTCCAAGTACATTTGTAAACTGCTACTACACACAGATTGGCTTTACCTAAAAGGGCATAAAACACAGGACAGAGAAAAGAGAACAGCCTGAAATTACACAAATCACAAATGTAACCTTCCATGTGTACTGGCCTTTAGTCTACTTTACATTAAAGAGGCAGAAAGGGCGTCATGATGTTTGTCAGCCGAAGTAAGGAATGAGGAAAACACACATTTGGATGGAAGAGGAAGCTGCACATCCTGATACAAATACACACTTCAGATCTGATGGAGAGGAATATATATTAAAGGTCTCATGTCATGGCCATGTCTACTGATCAGAATTCCATTGTGAGGTCTACTAGAATAGATTTATATTGTTCAATGTTCCAAACTCACATTGGTTTCTCATACAGCATCTCTGTATAGCATGTGTATTCACTCTGTCCTAAACGGCTTGTTGGAGCTCCTGCCCCCCCCCTCCCTGTTAGCCCAGTGGCCGTCTGCGAGACAGCGAGACACAACGAAACCCAGCCCGAAACACACACACACACCCGCAGCCTGGCTGGGAGTTTGTGTGTGTGCCCAGGCTGAGTTCCGCGGTGTCTCGCTGACCCCACACCAGTGAGCCAGCCCACTGTCCCGCTCCTCCCAGCAGCGAGCCTCGCAACGTCCCGCCGAGTGTGTGTGTGTGAGGAAGTCCGCGGATTGGTCCAAACCTAACGGCTCCGCGGACGTAACGTAACGGCTCCGCAGATTGGTCCATTTGGAGCGGAGCCGTTACGTTACGTCACTATACCCGAAATACGTCACTATACCCAAGAAGTAAACGATGGAAAAAGAGAAATCTCCAACGAGGCGTTCTGGGGCAGCACAGACAGGTCTTTTCTGTGTTAGAGTTTTACTCGCTACAGGGTGTACTTTGAGTGTTCTTGACTCTGCAGACCGTTTACAGGCAGAAAAAGCTACATAACACACAAGGGGACGGGTAATAACCAGAAAAGCATGACATGGGACCTTTAAGAATAAATAAATAGGTTGTTATTCACAATGGACACGTCGTTCTGTATGGCCTTTCTTAGCAGCTCATTGAGCACAAGAGTGTTAATGCAGAAGCTTCACTTTGTTTACAATTTGAGTACAATTTAAATGTAATAACCGTTCAGTAGTGATCAAGTCACGTGCTGCACCCCATGGGGATCTACAGTAGGTGGGGTTGGGTGGATTCTAATAATCTGGATTGCAATACACAAGCAGAATTAGAAAGAGGACCAACACCGTGTACAAGTAGGAGAAATCCCAGAGGCCAGATGTACGACAATGTGTTTGCTTGAATTCCAAAACATGAACATATCATTGCAAAATAATCATAATTCTTAATATCAGTGGTTTCCAACTGGCCGTTTTATTTTCCTGGTAAACTCTGGATATTTGAACCTCTTTAAAGCCTCTAAATAACGTTGTCTTGTAGTTTGGGAGAGTGGAAACTAAGGCAACATCAGATTAGGCAGTGGTTTTTTTTAAGTGTTAAACTACCGACACAATGAGCGTTATAGACTGGGACCAGAAACAACACATTTATAAGTAAAACATGAGTTATTTTACATGAAGTTTAGCCTAAGTAGCTCTTTAATTGCGGGTGTACAACAATTTCCTTTTTCAAATGTTTAATGTCCATTGTGTTTTTATTTTATCCATATTTATTACCTCAATGTCCATTTCAATGTAAGTGCTGTAAGCAAAATCTCTGGCTAAATTTGAGATGTTTGACAAAGGCTAAGACATGATTGCAGGGGACGGTTTACATGTCCATGAGATAAGTCTGAATGAGGAAGTTAGAGAACCTATACGCCTTCTTTTTTTCAACAGACGGGTCTAAAGTCTTGTCAAGCAAGCAGAAATACTACAGCAGATGCAGATAAATAGATCTACAACCAAACACTTATGGCCGCCAGTGGGAGTGGAAGTCAGGCTTGTGTGCACGTGCTCCCAGTTTCTCAACAACTGAGATTGAAAAGATCCATGCTTACACACATCTGATATTAACAGTGCAATACATACAGCAGGTGTCCTCTAGCATGAGTTTTATACATCTGATAACACCAACCAAAAACCCATGAAGGGGGAGCAGAATGGGCTTTGTGTAAGATCTCAAGTGAGGTGGAGAAGGCAAGATGTGCAGTGTGTACACAGGATAATAAGAAAGGAACAGAGAGGACGGGGGGACGTTAGCTTTAAATAACATATTACATAACCCACTTCCTGGAAGTTATTTGCTCTGGGACGGCTGTGAGCGGAGGAATGTGTTCAGATCTTATCAGCAGACAAAGTGCTTTGTGAGCACACATCAAGTATGGGCTGTAGATTGATCATGGTGTGTTAGCATGTCACCACACACAAGGGTGTAACTTTGGTTTGAGAAGTGGGGGGGACACACAAAACAGGGGGTCCTCCGCAATGAAACATTGTTCTCGATTTAATTCCATTTCCTGCCTTTTTACAAATATATAGGGACGATTTTTTTTCTTTAAATTTAAGTTAAAGGCATCAATCTGGTACACAAATTAAGAGATTTATGGATACAGCTCTCAACACTCATATGAAACAGAACTGTATATATATATTTCAATACTCCAAAAACCATTAGAAATGCTCACAACCAATAACACATCATTGATAAACTCCTCTCTCCTATCTTTATCTTACCTAGTCTGCATTCTTTCTTTTTATTTATGCATTTGACTAATCACTCCCCTTTTAAACTGTGTTTTTTATTGTTTACTGACATTGGAATGATTTCTTAACTTATTTTGAACAACTATATTAAATAGATGGAAATATTTGTTTACATAAATGACCAAACCGTTTGAGACCCACTGAGATAACTTAGACTAAAGTTTACAATCTCATCACTCAGCGAGTCCTTTTCCTAAACTGACGTTATCTCAGCCTCTCAGTCCGACAGGAGAGGACTCTCCCTCTCCTTATTGTTGAAACAGCTTCTAATCTCTGTTAGCTCCGAGCTAGCACCAGATGCTAACAACAACCCCTGTAACTCTCTGTCTCTCTCTCTCACATAATGCGCTCGTGCCACAGACACACAGACGCTCCTCCGTGACGATGACTGCTTGCGTAAAAAAATAAGAAGAAGAAGAAGATGCTCAATGGTTTATGGGCAGTACTGTGGGAGAGGCGAGATTTTGAACTCAACGTTTCTCAGACCTACACAAAATGGCCATACATTTAAATATATATATATATATATATATTCCACTGAGTTACATTTCACCAACACCAGTACTGAATGTGACAACTAAATATTGATTAATTTTCTGAATTTTAAACCTTTAAATGCCACACGTTTGTTTCGATAAAGCCCTTGTTATGCCTTTTATTTCTTGTGTATGGGTGGCAGTAGCTCAGTCTGTAGGGACTTGGCTCTGGAACTGAATGGTCGCCATTTCAAGTCTCCATCTGACCAAAATATACGTATAATATGTAACTGGAGAGGTGCTAGTTCACCAGCACTGCCAAGGTGCTCTTGATCAAGACACTGCTGTTGGCTCTGACACCTCTCCATCACAGTGCAGATACCAATTATTAGTAACAACATTTACTTAATATAATGACATAAAACGGCCGCAATGCCAAATCAGACAAAAAGCAAGAATTTGCCACAAGTAGTTAAAATTAGATAATGGTTCAATCTGGGGGGAAATAGTTAAACATTGGGGCTTTAATAAGTTTCAATGGGGATATTTTTTACCTTAAGGGTCTCTATTATTTACCCGTGTTGTGAGCTTCAAAATATAATTTTGTATGCCATACGCATTAAAATAGCCTAAATTAATTAAAAGTAAAAGCTAAAAATGTCCCTAGAGAGGCACAAGGGTTAAAATGCTGTGTGTAATGCATGTGTGGTGAGTGCTAAAAATAAGTATGAGAAAAACACCCTTCTTTCATTCAGTGCATTGTGAAGTCTTTGTTCCCTTTTGGTAATCCTAAACTCACTATCACACACAGTTTTGCTAGGGCTAAAACAGAAGTTAAACATTTTGGGTTCTAACATTTATTTGCTTTCTGTCTGAGGCAGTTAGCTTAGCATAAGGACGCTAGGCAGGGGGAAACAGCTAAGCTATCTGACTCTCAGAAATCAAGCATATACCTGTATTTCCCAAAATGTTGAGCTTTTTCTTTAACAATTTAAAAGTTTTTTTTCCACTTCGGAGTTTTTACATATACATCAAGTATGATCACTTCATTACAACATACAAATATTTGGCCCTCATACTGTATGGCTGTTCTGTTTTGATAAGGGTCAAGAGTCTAACCATCAGAGGCAATAACTAATGAAGTAAAAACTATGTTAGTCAAAGACAACATGTTATTCCTTCACCCTTTAAATTAATTTCCATAATGTAAAAGCGGTGCTCAGTCTGAACTGGTCTGCTCTTTCCTACCGCTCTAAATCCATGGATGTTACAAGCAGTGCCTATAAAAAGTCAAGTGAAAACGTTATAAAAAGAGAAGGACCGAGCAACCAGGAAACTAGTTGTGACTCACACATTCATGGCCCCTCGCTGAGGGTCATTTCTGCGCATGGCACGCCCCGCACAGACCTGCTACTCCGCCTTGGATCCCTTGTGCCCGGAGGAGCCTCTGAGGTAGGTGTCGTAGAAGAAAAAGGCGAAGAGGACCAAGTAGCTGAGGTACATGAGGAAGCCCCAGGTGATGTTGTCCATGTTGGAGGGACAGCGCACCTCGTGCTTCCAGTTGTACACCAGGCCCAGCACGGTGAGGCCCATCACCATCTGCAGGATCTGGGTGGTGGTGATGATCATGGCGCAGGGGCGGGGCACCCTCCAGCCGGCGGCCCGGGCAGCGTAGTACGTGTACATGAAGGAGTGGACCACGAAGTTCATGGTCATGAACCAGCCGCCGCCCGCCACCTGGTCCTTGTAGGAGTACCAGGAGTAGAGCAGCACAGTGATGTGGTGGTACCAGTGCAGGAAGATGAGGCGCTGCTTCCGCAGGATGATGAACATCGTGTCCCCTGGGAGAGGAAGACATCAAATGCATTCATAAAGGAATCTTTCATTTAATCTTTGTCACATGACCAGATAAGTTGTATACATCGATCAAGGTTTCGGGGCTGACTATTAGCTTTAGCTTTGACCTAATGCACTTAGCATAGTTTACCATTCCTATGCAATGAGAACCAACATTGTGTATGCACTAACTTTATCTGCTGTACATAAAGTGCTTAAACTATTGGCTTGTTTATAACCAGTTTTTGGATCTGAATGCTTAATACATATGTATGAGTTGTTGTGGTGATATTGCTGTGTTTTTATAAACCATAATTAGCCTATATCAGATTTATTTGCAAAAATTGTACTGGTCTTGAACAGTTTACACCCTGTATTAAAGATGAAGACTGTCTTCCTGTCTGCGGCTGAGGAAACACTTTCTCTATTTATCATCCACTAATGGGATTTTATTGCCAACTCAGCATATGCCTCCCTTTCCAACAGCACTCAGGTCTCTGGTTCAATAGAGGGCATGAAGAGATCAGTGTGCACACAGGGAGACAGCACTATCTTCTAAAGAAGCAGCTTTTAAGGTTTGCTGGGAAATGTCAGGAAATTACCGTGAGAGCTTTTTTCCAAATGTAGCCTAATTTTACACCACCAGACATTTGAGTGGCTTCTGAAGTTTTGGACTATGAAAAAAGAGATGACAGACGTCTTACCCAGCTCTGGTGCCTTGCTAAGAACAAAGGCGTAGGCCCAGAATTTGCTGACGGGGGCGCTGTAGAAGCTGATGTCACACACAGACTGTCTGAAGCCGTTGGTTGTGAGGACGTGCACCATGTACAGTCCTGTCCTCACCGCTCCTATGATGCTGCAGAGGGAATCCAAAAGAGGCAAAACCATTAAGAAAAACATTATTTTAATGGGGTGATGAGAACAACATATTGTGATACACAGTTACGTCATCTAAATTATCAAGCACAAACTGACTTCAGGGCTCGACATTAAGGACTGCCCGATGGCCCGGGGCCATCTAGTATTTAGCTCGGGCAACGAAGCCTCACCTGCTGGTTGCCCGATCGGGCAATGAAGCCTCACCTGCTGGTTGCTCGATCGGGCAATCTATTATGCCAGTATCATGCAGCTGGCGGATCCAGTAATGAGTGACCCGACAGTAAAACTAAACATATCTATAACTAGTTACGGTAGTTTGAGAGGTAATAAAAATAGCTACGTGTGATATTCTAACCTGAAGTGTGTTTTGTTCCGCTCACCGCTGCATGTGATCATGCAGAGCTGCGTGTCGACTCGTCAGCAGCAGCTGATCTCTCTCTCCTGTCAGATTAGACTTTACTCGCGTTTATGTCCATATCGATCAGATCCAGCTAATTCTAGCTAATGATGTGACTACCTGCTTATTAAAAGACACCTAAACAATGAGTGTCGCTATGCAACCGGGTGAGGCCACAAAGTATAGCGCATGCATTTGTTTACATGCCCACCGGAACCCCGAGTCATTACCAACAGATCAACGCACAATCAACCCATACAGGACATCTCTTTCTCCACATTAAGTGTTTGACACTAGAATTGACTATTCTTGTCTGTCACATACTCTTCTTGTCTGTCACATAAGTGGCGCAACTGAAGCGGTATTGCGCTAAAGGGAAATTATTCTGACCGGAGATATTTAGATTTGCCGGCTAACGGGAACTCTGACGTCGCCATTTGGTGTGCTTCGCGGATGCGCTCGGCTCCTCTCGACTGCTGCTCGGGTCTGCTCGGTCAGCTTCCGGATGAGGAGGCATTCGTTCAACCAACTCACAGTAGATAACATTACAAACATTTTAACAGGGGCCATAATAGTGTAAATAATGTTTGTTTTGGCAGTTATAACTGAATGTAATGTTTTCTACTTTTTTCCATCTGATGAAGGCATTTGCCTTCATCAGATGGAAAGTGTCTTGATCAACAACTTAAGTGTTTCTTATAGCTATGCATGGCATGCAAGCGAGCAAACACAAACAAGAACAAACAAACAAGTGAAATTAAGAATAACTTTGAAATTGGTGGTTCATCTTATAATTCAGTCTAGAGAATGCACCAGACAGCATCTAAGACCTGCAAAAATCTAAATGTTCTATGGGGAGGCCCCCCAAACCCTTCGTGCGTCATTTCGTCCGTGCGCATTTTTCAGGGCAATCTCCATTGGGCTCAGGGCCATCTGTAAATTAGCTTAGATGGCCCACAGGGCCATCTCCCAAAATCCTTAATGTCATGCACTGGACTTACATTTATATCAGATGGTCTTAATCTGATTGTTCTGTATTGGTTTGAATCCATGCTCATAGTGGAATAAGTGTCTATAATTAAATTATAGTAGTTAAACACAACACCGCAAGTAATGACATGTAGTGTGGCGTGCTTTAAGGGTTGTGCTTGAATACAGCATTTGAACATTTTTATAAAAGATTGAAATGCAAAACAAAAAATGTACATATGTAAAAAAAAGGAAACCGCAAATATGAATGTACATGAACATCACCTCTCTAATTGGGTGAATATAAAGCTGTAGGTTTTTTAATTTTTCTTTATTAGAAGTTAAAGCAATTTTTATCTAAAAGAGTGCTTCATATTTATTATCCGTCTGATGCAATCAAATCATCAAGAACTGCATATAATGTGATCAAAACAAATCAAATCTGGCCTTTAATCCAATCAGAAAAGGGACCAGATCAAATATCCACTCCTACAGTATTAGTCAAATCATTTTTCGTACTGCTATTCAACAGCCATTTTCAGGTTACCTTGTTGTATGTACACATAAGGGAGGCTGAGGTAAAGCACACAACAGTATCATTAAGACATCCTGAAACAGTTAATATCATTCTAGTCCTTTCATTGCCCTATAGGAGGGTCTCAGTTTGGAGCCATGATGTGTAAAAGTGTAATCATCAAAAAGCATTTCAAAGTAGAGCTGTTAATCTCGATTATGAAAAAAAAGAAGAATAATCGTTTTATTTTATTTCGATTATGTTGTTTTCATAATCGTTGCGAGCCAAAATCGTAATTGCGATTAAAATATGATTAATTGAGCAGCCCTATTTCAAAGGACCATTTCATTCATCACAAACTTGAACCTTAAAAGCACCATTTTTACAACCCATGGTATTGTTTCCCATAAAAACATCACTGAACCAGAGTTTAATGCACACCTCCATTGTTCCATCAGCGATAAAGACATAACATTACTCATCCCTGTAATGTTCATAAAAACCCTCTTAGAGCCCCATGACTGTAGTACAGTGCATTTAAACATTGATCCAGATATTGCAGGAAGGAATTCCTGTGCCAAACAATAAAGAGAAAACCAACACAACAAGCAGAGATCGCTTTGGGTGGCTTCCTGTTCTGCTTATCGAACCAGTTCTTAACATTTCTAGACCTTGATTCTTTGTGAGGGTCAGAACAGGTCACCTGCTTAAATAACGCAAAGACAACCTTTGGGCGCCATCATTATTGTTTACACTTTATGGAACCTGTAAATTGGTTGATTTAATAAAACAAAAGTACAGCCAGAGAATAGACTGTATAAACTGACTTGTGGGAGACGATAAGCAGAATCAAAATTCAATTCCTTTGTAAATCTGAATTTTGCAACTGGTTCAAATTTGGAGCCGATTCTCCATACAGTACCAAACCCTATAAGCTGTACAATGGGGCGAAGCCTGCGAGCTGGTTCAGGCAGTCAACTCGAGCACCAATGACACATTTACACATGTCACGCCTCGTCCCTCTTACAACCAACCAAACACATTCTGCTAAACTTGCCGCTCTATTTAAGCTGCCAGATCTGCTGTCTCTGCCTCGATAATGCTGCTGCTACTGCTTCCACGATGCTGCTGCTCACCTGCCCCACCACCATCTCATCTTCCACCTGTAGGCTCGGGATAGTTATTTAACCATCACTCAATGTTCTTTGTAAATCTGTGGAGTGATGAGGCCCGAGCCAAGACGCCAAACTCAAACTATATGCTGCTTCTAATAAAACATATCAAAGAAACATGTGAGTTGTCTGACTGAACTGTTCTCAGATGTTCTATTGCACAAGTACAATCATCCTTGTCATAAGAGAAAAATATCACAAGAGAAATCACTCTACTGCTGAATTTGCATAAAACAATAAATGAAATTATTTCCTGATCCAAGTGGTTTGTCTCAGCCATGTTGAATACATATCTTCTAACAGTTGTGGAAATCTTGGCATTCATGAGAATGGGAAAAATGTAAGGTCACTGTGACCCTGACCTTTGACCACCAATGTCTACCCTGTTCATCCAACGAGTCCAAGCGCACATTTGAAGACATTTCCTTCAGACATTCCTGAGATATCACATTCATGAGAGTGGGACGGATGAACACCAGACTTCCATCGGTACAGGTGTGATTATATCAGTGCAAGTGAAAATCATTGTAATAGGAAGGAAATATTTTTGAGCAGAGTACTGGATACCAAAGGACACGACTGCTAAAGGATTATTGGAGCTCGGCCAAGGACAGCAGACGAGGAGCAGTAAAAGTGAATTACAGTGATGTGCATACCATTTATACTGAAGGTCCTGCTTCCTCTCTGGGTATTACTCTGACGCTGGATGCACTAAACCAGATTTACCAAACATGGCCAGTCCCTGCATCCATGCAGCAGTTAGCCGATATTTACTTCAAAAATCAGTTGAAATCCGACAGTGAAAATAATTCCCACTGAGCACAACTTTGAGTGTTTGAAGTTGAAACCAGCATGTTTGTATTTACTTGACAATGCCAGAATCTACCAAAACAATAGAGTGTTTGCTGCTTAACAGTTGGTTTGTAATTCTACACTAAAAACAGATTAGAAGAAGAACAGGTGCATAATGCTAACGTTGTGGGCTTTTAACAGAGTTTCAGTGAAGGACAACCTGCTTGCTCACTAAATCTTAGCCTTTTTTTAAATAAGGTGTGCATAAAATACAGGTTATGAACTTATTTTAATATCGTTAAATGTGAAATGTTCAGGTATCTTATTGTCAAAGGTCATAAAAACCTTTGCCAATTACTAAGCAGTAATTGGCTGAATAAAATCCGTATTGTACACCCGTTATCACTGTATCACTCTGTTGTATGCATAATATACTGTGTAGACACAGAATGGCGGTGTTAGCTTGTGTGGGTGAAGTTCATTTTCCACAGAACAACATAAAGTCCAGGGTTTGGCCTTTTCCTTTAAGTTCACAACCCTCAGATTCAAACCAAGAGAGAAATGTGTTGTAGGTGACAGTTGTGCCATCTAACTGGTTAGACATCAACACATGCCTACTGCAGGTAATGAAGCAATGATGCTGATGTCCTCTTTCTTTGACTTCACACTAGGAATCGGAATCGATACATTTCAAACGATACCCATCCCTATAGCTCGGGCTGCGGGGGTGCTAGAGACGGGAGCCCGTCGATACGACCTTCCTAGCCGAAGATATGGCCGCATTTTACAATAAACCTCCGTTGGGTCGCTTAAAAACAGATATCGCAAATCGAATCGCTATCGCAATATCTGTCAGAAAAATCGCGATTCGATTATTTCCCCGAATCGTGCAGCCCTACTTCACACTCGTATTTAGTTTAGAGTAAATCAGAAGGAAAAAAAAGACTAATATAGGACCCGATAGTGGGAGTATAAAAGAGCATTCTGGCGTTGATCGCTATGGAAAATATGGTACTACACTGGAACATCTTCAGTATATCAAATAGAACTTGAATAACCTGCTTAGAGCGGAACTTGGAAGACAGTTGAACTTGCAGAGAGAACCAAATGATACAATGGGGCACTAAGACATTTTAGACAACATTGTGCTTCCATTTAAAGCAGACTGCACCGATACTGCGGAACAAGAGATTATGTATTTTACCACAATGCATTATTCTTTACCATTCATAACCTGGTTTCTATGTAACCCGCGTGTTGCGTTGTGCTAGTGCAGGAGCTTAATCTATAAAAATAGTTACCTCATCATTTATGAGTCGATTATATTTTGTAATCAGAATCTGTAGAGTTAATGAAGTATTAAATCAAAAGTAGAAGAGTTAAAACCACATTGGTGTAGTAGAACAGATTTAGGTAACTAAAGTACAAGTACAGTACATTTAAATGTCAATCCACTGAAGCAAAAACCAGTATGCAGCATGGTGACTCACCTGAAGATGGCCAGGCTGAGAGACCACAGCACTAACGGCCGTCGCAGGTTCAGCTTCGGCCTTTCCCTCATGAAGTGCTGACCGCCAAATACGAGCGCGGCGTACAGGCCACAGAACATGAAGGCCTTGTTCCTGTGGAGGGCAAAACACAGCATATCGATACAATAATCAACCATACTGAGGAGTAAGAGCAGACATTATTGTATTTATCCTAGTCCCATTGATGCAACCAAAGTGGACAAAATACTAGAGACACCTGTAGTTCTAATGCAATAAAAAATTCTCAATTAAAATATGGTTACATTTGTACCAAAAACTAAACATTATGACATTGAGTGCAGCCAGAATGAGTCCTAAAACCCGGGATTGAGTTGTTAGCACTTCTGCTTCGCTTGTCTCAATGGTCGTCAATGGTTTTTTGAATGTGATTTTGTTTAGAAGGTTAACAAGCTTACTGGACTTTTACAATTTGTTCTACGATGTAAAATACGTCAGTTAATGTCCAAGTTAATGTGTGAAAAAACTAAACACCATCATGCCAGACATCACCCCCTAAAGCTTAGCAGTGGTGACGTGAAGTCATGCAAGTGTTTACAGATAATAAACATCCATCTCTATCTAGAAATTCATAAAACATCTGGTACAGCTGCTACTTCATGGGAATCATACCATTTATTTGTGTAATCCCACATAAAAGTACAGACAATAAACGCAAGAAGCCTTTCCTTCAACATAAATGAACAGAAACCAGTATTTTACAACCATTATTGAAATGGATTACCTGACATAACATACCCTAAATGTACTTTGACCCCTATCATGTTAAAAAAGAGGAAGTAGGATACTTCCTCTGACAAACATCCTTGCTTAACCCTAAATCACCTCAGTCAGACCCTGGACTGGACATGATTACACAGCTGTACTGCTGTTACATAAGGACATTACACAATTAGGGTGAACGCACCAAGGCCATGATTCGAACACATGACTTGTACGTAACGATTTTAAAAGCTATATAAACAAATTAAAAAACAGTCTTATAACCCAATCCTTCAGCCTTATCCTGATTTATAATCACAGCAGAGGATTAAGAGGTTAGTTGCTGACACACTGACTGTTTACACTGCCAGCTCTGAGTGATGAGGCCATTTTAACTGGGCACTGCTCCGCCTGGCTTATCAACAGACACCAATATTATTTCAATTTACCACAGTTGGGCAAAAATGGCGACAGAGCAGAAAAGGTTAACTAATGGAGGCGAAAAAAATAGGTGTAAAGTGTGAGGCTGTACAAAAAAAGAACATACCTGATAATATATGTATTTATTTAATCCAGGAGTAAGTGTGAGTGTGTGTGTGAGTGTGAGTGTGAGTGTGAGTGTGTGTGTGTGTGTGTGTGTGTGTGTGTGTGTGTGTGTGTGGTGTGTGTGTGTGTGTGTGTGTGTGTGTGTGTGTGTGTGTGTGGTGGTTTGGGAATAGACCAGATGACTAATCCAGTTTGGCACAATACATATTAGTCCGAGTGGATGCTGCTTGACCCAGTTAATGCCATGGGGGCTTCCGATAGCCCTTCCAGTGCGTCCATGTTGAGTGCAGAAAAAAAACTTGCATAAGGCCAAAGATTAAGAAAGATTCTCACACATTCTCCACTAATGGCCTCATATTTTCATCAATCTCTTCAATTCACCACAACTAGAACAAAGCGACAGCAACCAGGTTGACACTCACTTAGCCTCAGAGTATTTTCCAGCAGACAGTTTTACATGTGCTTTGAATAGAATACTATGTGTGTACTTTCTGAGAGGGTCAGCCCTAAGGTCAAATCCTAAAAGACGGCCCTGCTAAGGCCACCGAATGATTCGATTTGTATTTGATAAATGAATAAATCACTAATCATCATCAATCAAAGAAGTTGTACAATTGATTTAAACTTTTTTTTATCTATTTTTGTTTGGGATTTTGTCAGATAAGGCACCCGATATAATATCCTACTAATTGAGGGATGTTGTCTGTAAATGTCTGGATTTTTTCACCCCAAATATTGATTTGAATATGATATAAAAGAGGAAAAAGGCTGAAAACAGTTTGTTCTGCCTAAATGTAACTATAACTCATTCATCAATAAAGACGATTTATTTTGTTTTGAATTAATTAATGGATTAGTTGAGTACATTTTGCAGCTCTACTCATCATGTTAAGAAATATGATATGCAGGCCAAGTTTCAATGTAAAGAAACCCATACCCAAAGCCAGGCACTTTTTTGATAAGGTTCATAAAAAAAGAAAATACTGCAACCACGAAATGTGTTGCAGGACGAAAAATCAATAGTGACACTTAATAAAAACATATCTTTGGAATTTCTTCACTGAGAGTTCTTGTCATTGTATTATTCCAGGGTATATGCAGGAATCCTGAAGTCAAATGTAATACCTTTTAAGACCTTTTTTAAGACCCTTTCCATACATTTTAAGACCTCATCGCAACTTCGAGTTCTAACCGGTTACATTGGCGACACACTTTACCTCACATTTACTATATTAATTGTAAGATAGCACAACTAAACAGAGTGCAGACAGACTACTGAAGCCTCCTCTCCACATGAACTTCAACCTCTCTGTGAAGGTCAGGTTTAATGCAGTATGCGGCTTTGTTGCTTCTGTGCTCTTTCATTCCAGTAGAACTCCTCAGAAACCACTGTATATATACTGTCAGCGTCCTCGTGGGGCCGGGGTCTAAGCCAAACTATATCCGGTCACAGAGATCTGCTATTTTAAAGTAAGGTCAACACATATCGACCCTAAATATAGTCTATATTAAGAATGAGAAAAGTCTTAACATATATATCATTTTTTGTAAACATATGACAAATGTGTGAGGGTGATGACGTCAGAGCATCGTCCTATGTGCCGGGCTTAGCCCCGGACAGCCCCAGCCCAATTTCACCCCTGGGTATTTGTGAGGGAGCTCCTATATGGCATTACCCCGCTGAAGCTCACCAAAGTTTAATATATCTCATAGTTCAAAGTTTTGTCAATAGTTTTGTTTATTGGTCAAATACTGGTTTCTAATGGTTTCTGATGAGTTCTACTGGAATGAAAGAGCACAGAGTACAGAAGCAACGATGAGGTCTTAAAATGTATGGAAAGGGTCTTAAAAAGGTATTACATTTGACTTCAGGATTCCTGCATATACCCTGGGTTAGTGATGCTCCATCACATGTTTCTATTACAGGGTGAATCTTAAAGTGAAGCTTGACTTTAAAGCAACCCAACGGAAGTTTCATGTAAGTTTAGTTATTTCACTCGTAGCTCGGGCTGCGGGGGTGCTAGAGACGGGAGTACGTTGATACGACCTTCCTAGCCGGAGTTATGGCCGCATTTTACAACAAACTTCCGTTGGGTCGCTTAAAAACAAATATCGCAATTCGAATCGCAATCGCAATATTTGTCAGAAAAATCGCAATTAGATTTTTCCACAAAATCGTGCAGCCCTAGTCTGTGGTTGACACAAATTGAAGAGACAGATCACGTTTTGTTCAGCCGGACAATATCCATCATAAATCTATCGATCATAAATCTATCGATTAGATTTATGATTAGAAAATTATAAAAGTAGGGTAGACATGTGGATATTATCCGGCTGAACAAAACGTGATATGTCTTCAATTTGTGTCAACCACAGACCTTATTTCGAGCTATTTTCCAAAATCCTATGGAGAAATTGCATTGGTTTTTGTCGAAGGAACCGGAAGTGGTAAAATGCTAACTTACTTCCGGGTTTTAGGATGCGTCACTGTGGTACTCCATTGTAACACATAATCACTGATGTTCCGCTGTAACGGTGGTGGACTCATCAGAACAGAGTGGGCGAGCTGACCAATCAGAGCACAGTGGGCTCATGGGGGGGGGGGGACGACAGAGTGAATACACATACTATACAGAGATGCTGTATGAGAAACCAATGTCATTTTGGAACATTGAACAATGTAAATCTATTCTAGTAGACCTCAACAATGGAATTATGATCAGTAGAAATGGCCATGACATGAGACCTTTAAATGAAATTGATCCAAAAAATAAAAGACAGCTCTCTGGCAGTAGGCCTATAATTGTGTTCCTTAAAAGCAAAGTTACATTATGACTCTGCCAAAGGAATGCTGAAGCACGTCCAAGTATTAAACAAAGCTTCCCTGTTAATGCACTTGCTCCTCTTTAAAAATGAGTCTACAGTCACTCATCATTTGACAGCTCACTTGCCTGTCACAGACACACAGATGCATTTATATTCATTACTGAATAGCCTCATAAGAGTCAAGGAAAACACATGGTCTTCTAGGTTTCCATTTTGCAAATTGTAAACTTCCGTGAAAACAGTGCATAACAGACATAGCAATGTATATTTTTCCTGTATGCAAATAGCTGTAATTGAAACCCGGGCTGTCCTATGGGAGCACGGATGAAGTCATGTCTTGCATCCTCAAGGACATTTGAATTAAAGCGGGTAGAATGTGATTCCCTTGATTCTTAAGCTAAGATTGGCTAATTCTGGTGAATTTTTGTGAAATATGCGACACTTTAACCTAGTAAATCAATCACATTAATGGAGGGACGGGGTATACATGTAAGACACCGGGTCCGCATGGCGACCGTACCCTGTCAGGACATGGGGTAGGCTACTACATACAGACCCCACCACCCACCGCAGAGGAGGGGAAGGGCCTAGCAGACATTTTATCATGTCTTTTTCAAAGCTATTTCCCCCTTTATACATACCAGTTTTCCTGCATCCATTCCAGGGCTCTTATTTCGTCGAAGCGCCGCTCGAAATCGTACTCAGCCAGCGGGGAATGCTCAGTCGCGTTCATGTTTATTATTAGCGTTTTTTCCGCGTAAAATCTCCGTTTGAGCAGGATTTTCGAAGGAGGGAATAATATTGAACCGCGCCGAACCGGCCTTCTGGAGGACTACAGCCTGACTGCTGCTCCTTTATCTTATCCAGCTGATATTAGCTGGATTATCACCGGTTGGAGTCGAAAGGAGGATGCTGTATCACCAGATCCACTTCCCCACCGCCTTTCACTTTCCTCTCAGTTCGTCAAGGCAGCTTGAATGAAACAATGTTTTCCGGTTTGGACTTTCAAAATAAAAGCCAATGAAGAAATGACGCAGCACCTGAGTTTGCAAATGTTTGGCCCTTTATTTTAGCAGCCACAAATGCTTCATGGCAGGCCTTATGATTTTTAGTTTTTTTTGGTACACCTTTTCTACTCAACTGCTCTACAACTATTCCCCTACCTGTAAATGACAGTTAAACGTATATGAAATACATTTGAGCTTTTGAATTGATGTTGGACAATGTGGCTTAAATCATCTCCATATATATCGTCATTTGTAAACCAAAACTAGCTTGTTCATATTAAAATAACCTGTACTGAGAATATACAGAAAACTTATCAAATGCAATGTTGTCGTCTTGTTCGTGGTAATATGTAACAATTTGTTCATGTTGTCTTACAGATATCCTCAAAAACTGTGAAGTGCAATCATTTCACTTTGGAAAATGCAACAAATAATCCTCACCAATTATAATGGGTTATGTTAATCAAATACTAGCTGGAAATTGATTAATGTTGGCTAAAAAACACTAAACATGCGGAAGGACAACAGCTGCTCAAATGAGAATTTATTAGGCCAAATTCAATTCTTGAGTTGTTTGAAGATAACATTTTTGGCTCTATCGAATTTCTTCTATCTATTTTTGGCATATTAACAGATAAAATGATCCATACCTTGCTAAATAAATTCATCAACCAATACAAAAGATCCAAAATTGCAGTCCTAAGTTTTATTGTGCAGGTAAACGAGTTCGTTTCCGGTTGTTCTTGCAGTCACTTAGCGGTTTGACGGGTTTGACGCAGTGAGAGCACGCTCTGTTCCTTGAGCATGCAGTGATGGAGGTGGAGGGGGCGGGGCATTACTGTGACGTAGAGTTCAGTCTGGTCACCAGTTTCACCCAGACAACGAGAACTCCACTCTAACGATTATCCCTACATTCTGCATAATGAGAACATAATGTTGAGTATTTTAAGTATCTTTTGATGCTAGTACATTTTCACTTTTTAATGCAGGACTTTTACTCGCTTGTTGTTACAGAAAAATGTGACACTGACTGTATTGTAACAATTACTTATGTAAAATAATAATAATAATTAATTACATTTTTATTTAGAGCACTTTTCATGGCACTCAAAGCACTTTACAATGACACAAAAGCTTTGAAATACTTTTTCACCACTGCGTATGGATAAACTCAACACAATATTAATCACAAACTATTTTGATATTTGATTATTCCTTAAAAAACAAAATAATATGTCAAACATTCACTGGCTTTTGTTCCGATTCCAAATGTTAATATTGGCTGGTTTTCTTAATCTCCTATCTTTTGGACTTGTTATCAGACAAATACGTGGACGTTGAACTTTGACATTGCAAAACTGCGATGGATATTTGGCAGAGCGAAGGATATAAAGGGATTAAAATGCATTAACAAGGAGTTAAATGTTAGCTTAAGTATTAATATATAAATCCACATACTAATTTCACACACATGTAGGTGAATTGTTTTTATATTTGCCTGCATTCATGCTATATGTAGTTATTACCTAACTGAATGTTCTCAATGATGTTCTCTAAACTTTCTGTGCCAAAGGGGAGAAGGTATGGGCTCAGAACAGTCTCATAATACACACATGCACACAGAATGATTCACACTTGTATTTCATGATCCGCAATAGGATTCACACTTGTGTTTTTCAATGCACACACAAATGTGTTCCGTTTCATATACATGTAAATAAATTCCAAATGCAGAAAAAAGTTTTACATATGTAGGCCTATTTTTGATCCTCATATATTTGTTTTCCGTTTAAAACCGCTGCACCTACAAACACAAACCGCTTTCTGTGCACGGATCGCTGTGCATTCGTGTGTGGGTTTTTGAGACTCCCCTGACGCTCACCCGATTCGTACTTGTAATTTCTCTCATCTATAGCCAATCAGATGTGTCCTCCAGTCTAAGCCAATCACATGAGCGCGCCCCCACGAGGGTAGGATTTCTTGCGTTCGTGACGTAGCGCTTCATTACGCGTTTTGCGCTGTCCGGTATGAGGTGTGATTTGTGCCAATGAACGAACTCACTGAGCTCACTAACGTGTCGATCGTCGCCTACCATGCCGTGAACTATGCCGCGAGAGAAGTAACGTGACACTCTCGTCGTCACCCCTCTCGTCTGAGAAGCTACGTGACGTCTGCGTCTGAAGTTACTTTACTTTGGTAGTTGGGTCATTCTACAGAAAAGGTGGAAGTACTGTCACTTACTTTTGCAGACACCAAAATACATGACGTTGACCTAATACTCACATTCATTATGTTGAATAAATAGAGATTGTCTTTGCAATGGTAGGCTACTAAATAAAACATTTAAAACAAATTGTTTTATACATAAATTGCTATTTATTTAAAATGCCAAGTTCAAGGAACTGCCTTGTCACTTTGATCATACATGGAAGTGGAGCCTATAGTTTTCATTAAAACAAATTGTTTTCAATAAATAAATCTCATTCATAATTACATTACATACATTAAATATAACACTGAAATGCTAACAAAAAAACGCAAATTATTATTAATAATATCCAATAAATGTCAGTCACCCAAAATGACGTCATTGGTTACACAAAACGCTTTTATTTTGAAGTAATGTACTGTCTCTGAAGTGCCTCCTGTAACAAGAGATCATTTGAGGCAGTGCAGTGGACAAAGACATAAGGAAAGTCACTTCTTACTTTGTTTGTTAAAAGGTGTCATTTTATCTTCAAATGTTACGTGCGTCTTTCAAGTCTGTCATTAGTGTTACTCATTGCATAGCCCTAGGTCAGGGGTCGGCAACCCGCGGCCCTTTAAGCCCTCTGCTCTGGCTCCCTTGAGCTTAGACAAAAATAAGAAGGAAATAAAATAAAAGTATTTGTAGGACTATTTATATTTTGTTGCATGGTTGAAAATGTTTCGTATCTTGTATTTTGAGGTGATACTGTGACACATAAATAAAAAACAAAACTAAAATATGCGTAACATGCCGCTACGGTCCCGCGCAAGCGCCTTTTCTTGGAGGCGAATAACCTGACCCCCGGCTCGATGAGCGAACTATGGATAAATCAAAGAAAAGTACCGGAGGAACACAGGATTTAATTCTGTGTGGACAGAGTTATATGTTTTCACAGCAAACGATGCTGGTTTACCGGTATGTTTGATATGTAGAGAGAAGTTGTCAACGGTGGTGCAGCCTTTACGTATCGAGGAACAACAAGGGAGAGGAAGACAGACGATCTTCAGTCATAATTCAATGGGGTATGTAATTTATTTCAGAAAACGCTTGTTATATTCCATGGAATGCTCTTAACGTCCCGATAGCAATGAATATATTAAATGCTTTGACAATAAATACATACAAAAATTAATCTCTGGAAGCCGTAGCGCTGTAAAAAGCACGACCAATCATCTGAGCCTGCCCGGCTAAAATAACTGGATGGCCTAACTGCCTGTCAGCCTTCCATCTGTGCACAAACTTATCTCGTGCCCTCATTGGTCATGTGCGCGTTCGTGTGTGTTGGAGGAGGGACTCTGTAAGAAAGTTTGAAGGAAGAGGCATATTTTTTCCGGTTGTATACTTTCAAATTCTAGCGCACTCGAGCTGCTTTCTCCATTCTTACCTACCCTACCTTTAACTCTTTTTAGGGTGCAGCGATATGTTTTATTTATTTCAAAGTGGGCCCAATTTAATAATATTTGTTTTCCCTTCAAATGTGCAGAGGACTCCCCAAGTGCTGTGTTTAATTTATTTTAAAGTAGGCCTGTGTATTATTTTTAATTCTCCTTATAAGAGTTCTTTGTTTCTTATTAGAGGTTAACAGTTTTATATCATGTAATAAATAGCCTAATAAATCCAAAAAAACTGTAGTTTTTGTCTGATATAACAATAAAAAACGATGAAATATGTTTTGCGGCTCCAGACAAAAAATGTTTTGGAAAAAGGAGCAAAATGGCTCTTTTGGTCAAAAAGGTTGCAGACCCCTGCCCTAGGTGAACATTTGAATGGGAAAATGTATTGTATTGAAGAGTTAAACGATTTTGATATTGACTGAAGCCATATTTGGTCTGACACATTGCAACCATTTTGTTAAAATGGTGGTGTTTTCTCCAAATTGTCACTGGTGTTACTCTTCTTCCTGGTAACACGTAACACCAGTGACATTCCTATGTAAAAGCATTGTATAATGTATACAAATAATAAAAATAATAAAAATACTTTAAGCTCTACTTGTTGTGGATTCATCAAGTTAAGAGTTAGTTATTGCTATTCAACAGGTTTTAGATGTGTTTAGAAGGAATATATTTCAGCAGACTTGTATCACCCAGATTCCACCTTTTCTGTAAAATGACTCAGTTATCACCAAATAACCCAGTAATGTTACAGCTACGCAGTTGCTGTTCAAGTGAGACTATTTCAATATAGTTTTGGTATTAAAATAATGTTACACCCCTTGTATGCCCTGAACGCAAAAACAACCACAGACAAGAATATATATTTGTAATTATCAAAATGATAACAAAGGCTGAAAAAACAGGAGACGCCTGTCTTCCCTTGGTCTCCAGGAGAAAACGCCACTGTATATCACCAAGTTTTCTATAGTTTTGTGTGTGAAATAGATCGCTGCAGTGAACAGGACTTTATGTATTTGTTTATGGTTTATTTGATATGGAGGGATGCAGTACATAGAAGTTCAGAGAAGAAGCAACCCCTATATATTGTTTATTTTATTTCGTTTCATTTTGGCACCATGGTAGAGGCAAATATAGAGTTAATGTGCAGAGATTATAATGTCCCGTTTATTCAAATATGTATTGTTTTATGATGTTTAGTTGAAAAAAATAGTCACTGTGCTACATTTTGCTGCACTCAAGCATACATCTGAAGACAAGAGTTGTGTCCACCTTTGGCCACAAGGGGGAGTATTGTATATTTATACTTTG